ATCTGGTGATGTCCATGTGTAGAGTCTTCTCTTGTGTTGCTGGAAGAGGGTGTTTGCTATGACCAGTGCGTTCTCTTGGCAAAACTCTATTAGCCTTTGCCCTGCTTCATTCTGTACTCCAAGGCCAAATTTGCCTGTTACTCCAGGTGTTTCATGACTTCCTACTTTTTCATTCCAGTCCCCTATAATGAAAAGGACTTCTTTTTTGGGTGTTCTAAAAGGTCTTGTAGGTCTCCATAGAACGGTTCAACTTCAGCTTCTTCAGCATTACTGGTCGGGGCATAGACTTGGATTACTGTGATAGTGAATGGTTTGCCTTGGAGACAGACAGAGATCATTCTGTTGTTTTTTGAGACTGCATGCAAGTACTGCATTTCGGACTCTTTTGTTGAGTATGATGGCTACTCCATTTCTTCTGAGGGATTCTTGCCCATAGTAGTAGATATAATGGTCATCTGAGTTAAATTCACCCATTCCAGTCCATTTTGGTTTCCTGATTCCTAAAATGTCAGTGTTCACTCTTGCCATCTCTTGTTTGACCACTTCCAGTTTGCCTTGATTCATGGACCTGATGTTCCAGGTTTCTATGCAATATTTCTCTTTACAGCATCGGACCTTGCTTCCATCACCTGTCACATTCACACCTGGGTGTTGGTTTTGCTTTGGCTCCATCTCTTCATTCTTTCTGGAGTCATTTCTCCACTCTTCTCCAGTAGCATGTTGGGCACCTACTGATCTGGGGTGTTCATCTTTCAGTGTTCTATGTTTTTGCCTTTTCATACTGCTCATGGGGTTCTCAAGGTAAAAATACTGAATGGTTTGCCATTCCCTTCTCCAGTGGACCACGTTTTGTCAGACCTCTCCACCATGACCAATCCATCTTGGGTGGCCCTACGTGGCATGGCTCATAGTTTCATTGAGTTAGACAGGGCTGTGGTCCATGTCATTAGATTGGTTAGTTTTCTGTGACTGTGGCTTTCAGTCTGTCTGCCCTCTGATGGAGAAGGATAGAGGCTTATGGAAGCCTCCTGATGGTAGAAACTGACTGAGGAAACTGAGTTTTGTTTTGGTGGGCGGGGCCATGCCCAGTAAATCTTTAATCCAATTTTCTGTTGATGGGTGGAGCTGTGTTCCCTCCCTGCTATCTACCTGTGGCCAAACATCAGTTACTGACTAGATTAAACCAGCATTCTTGGCTTGACCTAGAAACTGCCCTTTTTCATGGAAAATAGTATTTTCTGCATTTCAGAAACAAGCTTCTTAGCCCTATTCAGACTTTGGGGGACTGTCACTTTTTGTAATTTGGATTTGATTTAAAAGCTTAGTAATAGGGACTTATGTGGTGGTCCAGTGGTTAAGAATCCACCTTCCAATGCGTGAGACTTGGGTTCTGGTCAGGGAGCTAAGATCCCACATGCCAACGGGCAACTAAGCCCAAGGATCTCAAGGAGAGGCTCTTGTGCTGCGACTAGAGAAAGCCTGTGTGCTGCAACAAAAAGTTGCTGTGCTTTTTCTTACAAAGACCCAGTGAAGTAAAATAAACACTTAGTAACGTAGGAAGTAATATAAAATCCATTTGTTCTGAGGAGTTTCTCAGAGACCGTTAGATGCAGTCATTTCTGCTATCCTTACCGTTTAATCCTTAAAAACTCTTCATCTAAACCAAGGGTTGAAAAGTGTGGGCTTATTAATTGTTGCTAGAAAGTGGTCCCTTCTGAGAGAATTCTTGCAAGTCCATGATGCAGCTTGCTGTTGAATTTATCCTTGTCTCTGCTGCCAAGCATGTGGCTGGCAACGAGTAGGGGCTTGGTGTACACCAGCTGAATGAATCAAGGTAGGAGTCAAAAGGAGATGTAGCTAAATGATTTTTGAGCAGAAGTCCTGCTTTTCACATTTTGAGCTCCTGGAAAGCAAATGAAATTTGTTCCACATTATATGTCATCAGGGAAAGGGAAATTAAAACAACATTGAGACCTATTAGAATGGCCAAAGCCCAGAACACTGACAACACCAAATGCTGGCAAGCACATGGAGCAACAGGAACTGTCATTCGTTGCTGGGTATACAAAATGGTATAGCTACTTTGGGAGATAGTTGGCAGTTTCTTGCAAGATTAAACATACTCTTATCATATGGTCCAGCAGTCACATTCCTTGGTATTTTACTCAAGGGAGTTAAAAATATATGTCCATACAAAAACCTTCTTATGAATATTTGTAGTAGCTTTATCCATAATTGCCAAAACTTGGAAGCAACTAAGATGCCCTTCAATAGGTGAATGGATAAGTAAACTGTGGTACCTCCAGACAATGGAATATTATGCTGTACTAGAAAGAAATCAGTCCACAAAAATATATGGAGCAACCTTAAATGCATGTTATTAAGTGAAAGAAGCCCGTTTGAAAAGCGTATGCACACATATACTCAAATATTAAAGGGAATACGCAGATCTACATAGGAGGGAATTCCCTGGCATTCCAGTGGTTAGGACTGTGAGTTTCCACTGCAGGAGGCACTCAGTTGATCCTCGGCCAGGGAACTGGTGGGGCTTCCCTTGTAGCTCAGTTGGTAAAGAATCTACCTGCAATGCAAGAGACCTGAGTTCGATTCCTCGGTTGGGAAAATCCCCTAGAGAAGGCAGTGGCAACCCACTCCAGTATTCTTGCCTGGAGAATCCCACGGACAGAGGAATTTGGCAGGCTACAGTTCATGGGGTCGCAAGAGTCGGACACAACTTAGTGACTAAACCACCACCACCACCACCACCACCAGGGAACTGGGATCCTGTGAGCCATGTTACGTGGCCAAAACAACAAGCAAAAAAAAATAAATAAACAATATAGATATACATACAAATATAAATGGTGGACTTCCCTGGTGGTCCAGTGGTTAAGCATCTGCCTGTCAATGAAGGGGACATAGGTTCAGTTCCTCACCTGGGAAGGTTCCACATGCTGTGGGACAAGTAAATCAGAGCACCACAACTGCTGGAGCCTGCATGCCCTGGAGCCCAGCTCCCATGCTCCTCAACAGGAGGAGCCACTGCCGTGAGAAGCTTGTGCACTGCAGCTAGCGAGTAGCTCGTGTGCAGCAACAAAGACCCAGCGCAGCCAAAAAAAAAAAGAATATTAACAGTGGTTCTCTCTAGTGAGAAGATCAGGATGATTTCAGTTTCTTCTTTGAGCTTTAGTCTTTTAAAATGTTTGTAAAGAATATGAGTTACTTTTGGAAAGGGGAAGGGTCATATGTAAAGAACACCAATTTTCCCTGCTTCCATGCACACATGGTATGCCCATGTTGTTGATACTTACAGCTGCCCTCAGAAGGAAGTGGTGGGCAGCAGTGTGAGCCTCATCTTTGGTTTGAGGTTTTAAAATCACTGTCATCCCATATCCTTGCAGGGTACCTCCAAAAGCAGCCCTACTTTGGAGCTGTGGTTGGCAGGGTGGCCAACCGAATTGCCAAAGGAACGTTCATGTTGGATGGGAAGGAGTATAAACTGGCCATTAACAACGGGCCCAACAGCCTGCATGGAGGAGTCAAAGGGTTTGACAAGGTGAGTTGAAGTCATTTCACAGTGTCCTCACCTGGCAGACTTCACTGAGTACCTTCAAGCATGCCTTGCCTTTGCCAGGCACAGCCCTAGGCCCTAGAGTCAGTGCGTGATAGGGTGATCCAGGAAAGAGGCTGCTCTCATGGTTTGGGCCTGGGGGGACGCAGATTGCTGACTGTGTTCCTGCACCCAGCTGTCTCTAGCTAATCTGACTATAGTAGGCAGGGGAGCCCCTGACTGAAAGGATGACAACCTTTGACTTAGGAAAGACAGGAAACGAACGCCTGTCTCACAGTTTTGGGATCAGAGAGTTGACTTTAGGCAGAACAGAAAAGTGGATTAAAGACAATATGTACCACTTCCTGCACAAATCATTTGCATATATTATCTCCACTCTTATTAGAACCCCGTATTATCACCAGATGAGAAATCTGAGGCCCTGAAAGGCCACACAACTCATAAGTTGGGCTGCCTGACCCAAAGCCCTCATTCCTATACTACAATTGCTGGTGTCTGCCATAGTCACTGGCATACCCCCAACCCAACGTCCCCCTAGTATCGGTCTATAAGCTCTTCCCCAACCCCGACTGGCATGTATTGTGCTGCCATATCCAGGCTACCCTTCCAGTGAAGGGTCTCATGCCTCAAAATGATGTCAGATTCTCCCCAGTTCTCCCTTTCCACATTAACTCCCATCCTGTAAGTGAATTCCTGGAAAAGCAGGTTAGGAAAATAAATTGATCAGACAGCTTCTCCCTGAGGTGGGAATGCCTGGCTTCCTGTTCTTTCCTAGTTGTGTGGGAGTCTGCAGGTTAAGCTCAGTGATTCTCTTACTAGTCTAATTTCAGAGAGGTAATTTTGGTAGTTAGCTTTCCTTTAAATTATACCACCCAGGTTATTTCCTAGAGAAAAGCCAGAGAAGACAGAAACATATATGGCATGTTAACAATCACAATTTCTTCTTTTCTACCTCTTAACCACCAGCTATCCTGATGAAGGAAGTTGGTCACTCTCTGTTTCCCCTGTTCTATCAGCTTCCTGTCTGTGGCTTAGAACCAGACAGCCCCGTTACTTCCCCTTTCCTCCATGATGAAACTCCTCATGCCAGAGATGGCTGAAGGCAGAGGATGGCTTCTGTCCTGGCAATATTAGGGCAGAGGGTCTCTGGAATATGCCAGGTCCATGGGCAAACCCCAACCAGAGGAAGTTAGCTTCAGCTCTGTTTGGCCAGGGGTCTTCAGAGGAGCCTCAGCACCTTGTTCTAGCTTGTTCCTGCGGCCTCTGTTCCACATGGAGTTTTCTGTGGTGTTACGTACAGGGCACACCCTATAGGAACAAACACATGAAGATAGTGAGTGTTTATATCCTTCTCTGCCGTGTGTTTACTGAGCCTCTTCTGTGAACCAGGGAGCATAATAGGATGGAGATTGCTGATACTCCAGTATAGTGAGTATCATGTAGTAAGTTACATGAATAACAGTTATAGGCAACGAGCCCCATAATATAGATGCCAGAAGTGTGCTACAGGAACTGGTATTAATGGCAGCTAGGGAGGTTGGAGTTGAATTGTTCTTCAAGAAAAGATAGCATGTCATTTAATAAGTGGATATTTGAGAGAGTGGCTGTGCAACAGCTCACAGAGGGTGGGGAAAGACTTGGAATATAATCATGAAGCCATTGAAAGTTTTAGGACATTAGGTTTTCATGGAGCAACATGAGCAGTATCACATGAACTTCGTTTTCAGTTTTGTTTGATCTCAACAATTACTGCATAATTGTCGGTTTGCAGGTAATTGTTTTCTTATTTATACCAACACATTTTTTTAACAATGAAATTTGAATAACCTGACAGGACTAGAAATGGTGTAAGTAGGCCAAGAGAAAAAAATTTGGAAGTTTTCAGGAAAATTTGGAAACTACTGAATCAGGGAAATCCTCCTGTGAATAGGAATTGTACTTTCCACTTTATCTGATGATATTGACTTACACAAAAATCTTTCCATTGTATCCTTTCTCTAAAGGAGAAAAACTAGGTAGCAAGTTAAGACCATTTTATTTCAGATATTTTATTTATAAAATTTCCCATTTGGGGGATTCTTTTTTCTTTCAGTTCAGTTCAGTTCAGTCTCTCAGTCATATCTGACACTTTGCAACCCAATGGACTGCAGCATGCCAGGCTTCCCTGTCTGTCACCAACTCCCGGAGCTTGCTCAAACTCATGTCCATCGAGTCGGTGATGCCATCCAACCATCTCATCCTCTGTTGTCCCCTTCTCCTGCCTTCAATCTTTCCCAGCATCAGGGTNAACTCCCGGAGCTTGCTCAAACTCATGTCCATCGAGTCGGTGATGCCATCCAACCATCTCATCCTCTGTTGTCCCCTTCTCCTGCCTTCAATCTTTCCCAGCATCAGGGTCTTTTCCAATGTGTCAGTTCTTTACATCAGATGCCCAAAGTATTGGAGTTTCAGTTTCAGCATCTGTCCTTCCAATGAATATTCAGGACTGAGTTCCTTTAGGATTGACTTTAATTGACCTTTTTCTTTAATCACACATATACCAGGTTTTATATTTTAAGTGTCTCAAAAGTTCACCATTTCCAGGAGATAATTAGGGTGTAAAATTAATTTTTTACCAAGGTCACTGAATTTGTTTCAAATACCAGCTGCTTTTACTGTAGGTGAAGGCAGAGACCTCCCTTCCTACCGGGCTTCACTTCCTGGCAAATGTAGTGTCAGTGAGAGATGCAGGCCATGTCAGGAGTGGGTAGGCAGAGCCTGGGCTCATGGGCCACTTTTATGGCCCACGCAAGTTACTGTCTCCCAAGTCTATTTGGAATGACAATGTTTGGTCTCAACTCTGCTGTTGAAAATGAAGATTGGCATAAAATATTCACTGAAAGTAAAGGTGTGGAATAGTGTAGACTGTCGGGCTAAGTTTGAACCCTAGCTCTGTCACTCATTACATGTATGACTTTAAACAAGATTTTTTTTCCCTTTAAATAACTGCATCAAGTGTGAAAGGGTTCTACTCCATCCTCTAGAATGTGGGAGGTAGAGTTAATACCGCCCACTTTAAGGGCAAGTTAACACCACTGAACTCAGTTTGCTAATCTGTAAAATGGGGGTAATGATATTAGTTGTACCCATATGAAATTACGAGTGCACAACTGTTTTGACCTACAAAAATGGTAATTTTAGTTGGTTCAGCCAAATCCTTATCAAATGGTTTGTGTAAAGCACCAGGTCAGTGGCTAATGAGCACCCAACAAATGAAGGTCTCATGTCAGCAAAGATCCCCTTTACTAGTGATCCCAGGGCTCCCCAAAGGGACTGGAGGTCTCTGGCTACCTCATCCTCTGATGGTGTAGAATAAGGAGTCAGGTTCTAGGATTAGACCACTTGATTGAAATCCAGCGTTTTACTAGCTGTGTGGCCTGGAACAAGCAGTTTATCCTTTCTGAGCTTCTGCTCTCTCATCTTTAAAAGAGGATAATGGTGCCCACTTTAAGTCAGTCCTGAGACAGAAAAGATAGTGTGTGTGATGTTTCTAGTGAGTCCCTGGGCTCATAATGGGCACTCGATAAGGCACAGAAGATTGCATACAAATTTCAGGTGTATAACATAGTGATTCACAATTTTTAAAGATTACATTCCATTTAAAGTTATTATAGGCTCTTCCCTGATGGTTCAGTAGTAAGACCCAGGTTCAATCCCTGGTGCTGAAATATCCCACATGCTGCAGAGCTACTAAGCGCATGTACCACAACTACTGAGGTTGTGCTCTGGAGCCTGGGAACCACAGCTACTGAAGCCCGCACCCCTAGAGCCCATGCTCTGCCACAAGAGAAGCCCCCGCAATGAGAAGCCCACACATTGCAACTAGAGAGTAGCCCCTACTCGCTGCAACTATAGAAAAGCCCGTGCAACAATGAAGACCCAGTGCAGCCAAAAAAAAAAAAATTAACCTCTTCTCTAAATCAAAGTTACTATAAGTGAAAGTGAAAGTCGCTCAGCCATGTCCAACTCTTTGTGACCCCATGGACTATACAGTCCTTGGAATTCTCCAGGCCAGAATAGTGGAGTGGGTAGCCTTTCCCTTCTCCAGGGGATCTCCCCAACCCAGGGATCAATCCCAGGTCTCCCACATTGCATACGGATTCTTTACCTGCTGAGCCACAAGGGAAGCTATTGGCTATATTCCCCATGCTGTACAATGTATCCTTGTAGGTTATTTATTTTATACATAGATGTTTGTACGTTTAATCGTCTATCCTTACAGTAACCCCAGTGGCAACACAAGTTTGTTCTACCTGAGAGTCTGCTCCTGTTTTGTTATCCTCACTAGTTTTACTTTTTAGGTTCCAAGCTGTCCTTAAATGTTGCAATGTGGCATTTAGCTCAGCATTGGAGTGACTAAGTAGCTTTGAAAACACTTTCTTCCAGGTCCTCTGGACCCCTCGGGTGCTGTCAAATGGTGTTGAGTTCTCACGGGTCAGTCCAGATGGTGAGGAAGGCTACCCTGGAGAGTTAAAAGTCTGGGTGACGTACACGCTGGATGGCGGCGAGCTCGTGGTCAACTATCGAGCACAGGCCAGTCAGACCACCCCGGTCAATCTGACCAATCATTCTTACTTCAACCTGGCCGGCCAGGTAAGTGAACTTGCCTCTGCTCACCTGCTGTAGTGTGAAGAGTCACTTGCCTCTTCTCTCTTGCATTGAGCTTTGTGGAATGACCTGGGGGTGGGGGGTGGGGGGCTGTGACTGAAGAGACTAACCCATTATGGAATTACTCTGGAGATGGGGTCACCCTTGGAGTGAAGAACAGCACCCAGCAAAGCATCTGACTCATAGTAGCTGCTCAACAAATGGAAATTATAGGGAAGGGAGTACACTGAGTAGCTTGTGCTGCCCACATGTTCAGACAGGTAAAACTAGCAATTTCAAGAACTCCTTCTCATCTGGGACTTCCCAGGTGGTCCAGTGGCTAAGACTCTGAGCTCCCAAAGCAGGGGTCCCAGGTTCGATCCCTGGTCAGGGAACTAGATCCCACATGCTGAAACTAATAAGAGTTCATATGCTGCGACTAACAGTTTGCATGCCACAACTGAAGATCCTCCAGGCTCAGCCAAATAAATAAATAAAAATATTAAAAAAAAAAGAATTCCCTCTCCTCTGTGACAAGGGCTTACATTTGCTTCCCCTGTTTCACTCCTCTCCCTCCCCTAAAAATTACTTCTAAGTAAGGCATTTTCCACATTGGATCCTTGGAAGTGTACTTAGCCCAGTCCCTTTTAGGAAATGCTGTCAGTATCGGGGTGCTCCCACTGTACAAACCCACCTGAAGAGTGCTGTGAAGACACTGAGAGACCCTCTTAGGTAATTCCTTCTAAACTACCTCATTCCTCCCAACCGTACGTAATATTTTAGCTTATTGAGGAAGCTGTTACATGACACAGAATAAAAGGCTTAGCTAAACTCTAGATTCTGTCTATGACCTTCTCTTCATCTGAGAAGCTCATCATTGTTCACTATACTTGAATCACTTTGGCATGATTTCCTACCACAAGGTGATGTTCACAGCCAGCGAGTAATACCTTACATTTTTATACTTTTTCGGAGTTTGCTGGTGATATGCTGATTTTTTTCTAGAATCTTTTCAAATAGCATGAGCTAATTTGTTCTTACAAAATTTCCAAAGCTCTTCCTTTGAAAATAAGAAAGATGGTTCTTCACTTGCTCATTCCTTATGTTCAAGAACCATCCTTCTTGAGATCTTAAACCAAAAAGAAAATAATAATAATAAGACAAACATGCACAAGCCATAAAAGACTGCAGTCATAAGCATAAAACCCCATTTTAAAAAATAAGTTCAGAAAGAAACTTCACAGAAATAACACAGAATATTAATGGTATTATGTGGGTAGCAGATCATGGTGGTTTTTCACTGTTTTCCACATTTTGTAACCAAGGGGGTGGTCTAAAGGAATAGATTGAGAAATAGAGAAATTAGGTGTGAAGTATTACATCTGCCTGTGTGTTCCAATGAAGGACACAAAATGGGGACGTAAGGTTCACTAAGGCTCTTTCTGTTTACCCGAGAGGAGGACCCTCCTGACCAGAATTTTCCACCCTTCCAATACTACAAGGACTTGGAGGGACAGGTATTTCTAATTTTTTTTTTTCCCTGAGGCTGGATAGTTTCCCAGATCACAGACCCCCACACAGAAAAGTGGTCAGGGTGAACTCCCTTGCATGTGCTGTCTATGTAAGTACAGCTCAGATCCACAGCCAGTAGCTTCAGGAGTGGGGGTGGGTGAGGGCCACCAGCCTTTAGAGCAGACACTAAGAGTTGCTGGGCAGTTAATCAGCCTGGGGTCAAGGGGTCTCTCTGAATTTTCAGAACATCTCTTGCCCCACCAGAAAAGTATTATCGTGTGTTTTAAACCCTCCCCAGGAAAAATAGCTCAAAACCTAATATTTAAAGCAGTCAACTCATCATATATATTTTCTGTTTGTCTTTTAAATTTAACAAGCAAAGTTTTATCCTACTTGGGGGGTCAAGCTTTGACTCATCACTTCTAAGTTTGAGTGTTGAAGGCCTAGAGACAGGAAAGCATGGTGTTTTTCAAAGAATGGAAAAGGTAAGAAGATTGTAGATTAGTTGAGGGTTTTTTTCTTTTTTTTTCTTTTTTTGGCTGTTCCTTTCTTATCTAACGCAAAAGTGGGTGAACTTTTTTTAAAAAACAAAACAAAACTGAAACTTTGCCTTAAGAGCTATGAAAGCAGGCCTGGGGCAATTTGAGATGAAAAGCAATAGTTATGGTTCTGGTATGTCTTTGTAGGTATGTTATCAAGGACCCAAATTCTTCCTTCATTCCATTCTGCTTTTTCAGTGTTATGGTTTTTGTCTTCAGGCTTATCCCTTCATAATTACAAAATGGTTGCCACAGCTCCACGAGTCACCTTTTCATATAGTCACATCCAGAGATTTTTAGAAAAGAACCTACTCTTTTTTTTCATAACTCTAATGTTCCATTTTTAAGAAGAAGCAAAACTTTTTCCAGAAGCTCCTCAACAGACTTTCCTCACATTTTGTTGGCCAGAGTGTGTCTTATGCTCTGCTTAACCCAATCACCAGCAAGGGAATTAGACAAATCAAAGTTTGCTCTCTGGGGCCCAAGTGGGGGTCCTATCCCTCAATATATCCTCATTATAGGATGAATCAACTAGTCAGTATTCTGCCAGGGGAGAAGGAGGGTGTTTGCTAATAATGGAGTTAGATGGCTTTTGGGTAGGAACCAACAGTGTCTCTCTTGCTAGAGGTGATTAGAGTTGAATTAAGGTGGTGGTCATGGCAATGCACAAAAAGGTCTTTAATGCCCCCATCCAAGCCATAGTGCACTCAAAATGGTTAATATTTTTAATACAAATAGTAGCAATCAAACAAAGTTAACAAAAGCAAACACTGAACTCAGAGATGGGCCTCAGTTCTGTTTGTGACTCAGCATTCCTTGCCAAGATTTCATCAGCCTGGAAAAGAAAATAATCCAACAGTAATATTCCACTAGAGGAGACATTGCATTATTCTAAGTCAGAGAGTCATAAACTGAAAAGCATGCTTTCTTTACTGAAGGAGTGTTACTGCTGTTTAGTGACTCAACAATTAAGAGAGTGGGTGCCTAGTTAGGGTTCCTTTCTTTCTCCTCCTAGACTTCTTCTCAACATCTTGGACTCAATGTATTGGTCTGTGATTTTCATATGGAATCATTTTCTTCCTGCTCTAGTGTTAAAAAAAAAAGTAAAAGGAAATTCCTAAGGCACTCTATTCATAATAGTAAAAAAAAAGAAAAAATCAAAGCAACTCAAAAGTCTATTAACAGGAGAACAGGTAAACAAGTGATATATTCATACAGTGGAATACTACTCAACCTTGAGGTGAGCATTGAACAAATAATTAGAGCCAAAGAAAGAGTCCCAAATTCTCTTCCTCAGTCCGAGGGGCCTCATAGCCTGAGGCGTGAGACGATGACACAGGGAGAGTCACACAGGAGAGGGACCCTTCTAGGCTGTAACAGCTATAGGCAGCGATGCAGGCCACTACCATCTTGGACCTGCCTTCCCGGGTCAGGTCAGGGGTGAAAGAAGTGGCTAAGAAGGTGTAGGCAGAGGCCCCTGCTCCGGCTTGGTCTCCCACCCACTCCTACCCCTGACCACTGGGACAACCCAAGAGAATCCTAGTTCCTCAGAAACAGGAGCCTCTTGGTGGTGTAAATAAACTGGTCTCTGTCGTGTGTAGACATCGATTCTCATGGCCTCTAAAATCTTGGCCTTTCTCCTCAGGATGACTCCATTTGACTTTGCGGCTGAGGCCATCTCACCATAGGGTCTGTTTTCAGCTTATCCCCAGGGCGCACTGCCTCTCTCTGCCTACAGGAAACTACAGGAAACTGCAGAGCCTTCAATTTGCCTCAGCTCAGGGTTTCTCAGCCTCAACATTGTTGACATTTTGGGCCAGATAATTCCTCGATGTGGGGGTGGGGAGGCTCTCCTGGGTGTGGTCAGCTGTTTGACAGGATCCAGGGCCTCTTCCCAGAACTACTTCCCCAGGAGCATGACTATCCCTGGTCGTGACAATCAAACATGTCTCAGGACACCTGTGGGGCAAAATCATCCCCAGTTGAAAACAACTGGTGTGGTTTACTTTTGAGCATTCACTCAGCAAAGCCCTCAGCTGCTTTCCATCCCACATCTTTTGCTGGGAAGCTCTAAAACACTGCTGTTAGGGCTGTGGTGCTCAGTGGTCAAGAATCCGCCTGCCAACGCATCAGACACAGGTTCGATCCCTGACCGGGGAAGATCCCACATGGTGCAGAGAACTGAGCCTGTGCACCACAGCTGTTGAGCTCGTGCTCTAGAGCCTCGGAACCACAGTCCTGAGCCTGTGCGCCACAACTGCTGAAGCCCGTGCGCCCTGGAGCCTGTGCTCTGTGACAGGAGAAGCCACAGCAGTGAGAAGCCCTCGCACCGCAACTGAAGAGTAGCCCAGCTCTCTGAAACTCGAGAAAAGCCCGTGCAGCAGTAAAGACCCAGCACAGCCATAAATAAATAAATGAAACTGTTTTTTAATTAACTAAAAAATACTGCTATTAAAATATAATCCTTCTTTTTAGAAGCATATATGTGTATTTTCCAGTTTGCAAGCACATTTGACTAAACTGTTCCCCATGAGAACCCTGGACAGAATGGGGGCGTTAGCCCAGTCTTATGCTGAAGGAAGTGAGATTCCAGGAGGTTTAGTGACTTCCCTGGGCCACTCACTGGGAGCCAGGATTAGACCCCGGGCCTTTCTGACCACTAACTAACACTTCATGTACCAGCCTTGGACTCTGCCAAGAGGGCAGGCTGTCTTTATGGAGGAGCTGGGACCCCAGTTCTGACTCCCAGTCTTCTGCTATGTGGCAGGGAGTGGGGGACTTCTGGGTGGGAACTAGGCCAGAGAAGTGGTGACATGGCCCACCCCTAGTGAGCCTACAGGCAATGCTTTAAACACCCAGCACCTGTGTTACAGGTCACTGACTCTTGCTCTTCTCTTTGCCTGGGATGTGAGGAGAGTAGAAGAAACCCCTCTGCTAATAAGTGAAAGCCCTAAAGGCTTGCAAACCACCATTGTCTGTCTGACTTTTCACTTTTATCATTCCATTCAGAGAAGTCATGCTGGGTTCACCCTTGAAAGCTTCTTTCAGATGTATCGGTTACTATTTTGAGCCTCTACCTACCTAACTTAAATGAACATATTAGTCATCCTCATCGGTCAAATGACATTTCTAAAGTTTTCGTCAATACTTGAAATCATTTCTGCAAGAGCAGTTGTAAAGCAGATATATAAGACTGAGCATTAAATCTTCATTTCTTTCTCTACTTTTTCTCTCCCAGGGTTCCCCAAATATATATGACCATGAAGTCACTATAGAAGCTGATGCTTTTTTGCCTGTGAATGAAGTCCTGATTCCTACAGGTTGGTGAATTTAAACCTTTTATAGGAATGCAGAGCTGGGGTGCAATGTGAGAAACATTAAAACTTCATTTCCCTAAATTTATTTCCCCTGTTGGCCTGACACAATGCCCATAGTTGCCATGATTAGTCATTTATTTTTGGTAAGGTTGGGAGACCATGTACTTAGACAATCAAACCATGACAATTTTGAGAGAGAAGGAATGCTGTTAATAATTAAGCCAGGGCAACAGGCATATGCTGAGATAGTCCCAAACAAACTGGGTCAGATGGTCATCCCAGCTGAGCCTTAGACTTCAGAAGATCTCCACTAAAGTGTCAATCTGTTATTTCTTAGCATCTTAGCAGAGGGGAATTTACCTAAGTATTACCCTACAAATGCAGGACCCTGACAGAACATGTCATGGTTTTTGACAGAAGAAGAAAAGGGTGGGATGGCTTGCACCTTGAGTAGGACAAATGCGGGTATATCACCTCTGAAACACAGGGGAATGGCATAGAGGAAGGAGTCCTGCCTATCAGAAGGGAAGGTGAGGTGTTGCCAGAGAGGAATTTCATGGGTGTGTGTGTGTGTGTATCTGTGTGTTTGTGTGTCTCCTGGGTTAACTGAATTGAGGTCACCTTGGTTATTATTATTTGGGATCAAAAGTACCTTGGTTCAGTAGGCAAATCCATAGAGATAGAGAGTTGATTAGTGGTTTCCCAGGGGTTAGGGACAGAGGAAATGGGGAGGTATAATGAGTATGAGATTTCTTTGGGGATGAAAATTCTGGAATTGGATAGTGGTGATGGTTGCACAACCTTGTAAATACACTAAGCATTGCTGAACTGTGCACTTTGAAATGGTATGTGAGTTATCTCAGTTTAAAAAAAGAAAGAAGGAATCTTGGTTCATGTGTTATCTCCAGGATTGATGGGTGTAATTTTGTACTAGATCATATGTGTACCCCCATCTGGCTCCAGGGGACAGATGGATGACAACAAGATGACTTGCAGGGGTACTGTTATTTGTGGCAGGTTATAGAAATTAACTTGGAGTAATTACCCCCAAAGCGGTATATACATATTCTTATTGGGATTTTGTTAAAATCAGAGATAAGGTGAATGTTAAAAGCATCATCAAAGAAATCTAAAATAAAAGTAGAGGATGAAGGGAAGGCAGAGCAGAAGTCTCGAAAGACAAATGCTTTCTTCATCAGCTTCCCTGATTACAATTTTTTAGCATCACAGAGTTGAATATTTTCCTGGCTCCAGGGTTTTTTTATATTTACCTCGGTCTGATAACATGTGTTATCTGATATGGACATGGCTCAATAGGTAGATGCAGAATTATTGCATTGGAACTCTTATATTGTGAGCTGCAAGGGAAAAATAGTGGCAGCTACTGTTGTGTGACTGACAAGAAAATGAGGTAAGCAGCTTACAAGCGAGGTGATGAAATAAGGGCATATTTCTTTCTGTATATTTATAAAATTTTATGCTATCCTACTTAGTTTTGATCAGATGAAAATCACAAAAAAATGCATAATTCATGCTAGGTAAAGATTATTTGTCATGATTGTAAGAGATAATTGTGGNAGGTGATGAAATAAGGGCATATTTCTTTCTGTATATTTATAAAATTTTATGCTATCCTACTTAGTTTTGATCAGATGAAAATCACAAAAAAATGCATAATTCATGCTAGGTAAAGATTATTTGTCATGATTGTAAGAGATAATTGTGGCAAAGCACAATACAACTTAACATGTAATCTAATTGACCATGTAAAACTCACATTCATCACAGTTCTGCACTGTAAGTAGCTTTAGGTCAAATTCTCCCCTCTGTACTAATCCTGGACACCTGTGAAGCTGAGTAGGCTGTAAAAAGCTCTGAACTTTCAGGAGGCAAGAGCCCAGGCTCCAGTCTTGCCTTGGCTATTGACTGGCTACGGGACCTTCAGTGCATGTATAATACTTTAATATTTAAAGTCTCTAGACTCCATTTTTTTTTTTTTTTTGCAAATAGGATGTTGAACTCAATCAGGGTTCATAAATTTTTATAAATCATACCCATAAATTTTATTTTTAAAAATTAGGGAGATATATCTCAGGTTGTTCAACTTTTCATTTTGCCAAGGCTAGAAAGCTATTACAAATACAGAGCTGTTAAAATTAATTGGGAATATATGCATATTATATATATATTTTTTTTTTCCATTTATTTTTATTAGTTGGAGGCTAATTACTTTACAACATTGCAGTGGTTTTTGTCATACATTGAAATGAATTAGCCATGGATTTACATGTATTCCCCATCCCGGTCCCCCCTCCCACCTCCCTCTCCACCC